GCCCAAACAGCCAAAAAAAACACGCGCACCCCGCCCAAACAGCACAACAAAAAAAAAACGCCACCCGCCCAAACAGCAAAAGAAAAACATGCACCCCGCCCAAATACAAAAAAAAAAAAACACGCCACCCGGCCAAACAGCAAAAACTAAAAACGCCCCCGCCCAAACAGAAAAAAAAACGCATACACCGCCTACACCACCCCACAAAAAAGCACGCCCCCACGCCCAAACAGCAAAAAAGCACGCCCACCCGCCCAAACAGCAAAAAAAACGCTCGGAAGGGTCTGGGGCGTGTTTATTTTTTTGCTGTTTGGGCGGGGTCGTGTTTTTTTTTTTTGGGCTGTTTGGGCGGGGCCCATGCCTCCACCCAAACAGCAAAAAGATAAGCACCCGAAAAGCCCAAACACCAAAAAATAAACACTCTTACCGAGTCTTGGGCCATGGACTCAGCGCTAAGGCCTTGAAGCAGATGGCGGAGGCAAAGCTCGAGAAGGAAATCGAGTTGAACTGCCTCAAAGAGGAGTCTAGTTGGATCAGATGGTGTAAGAACAGGCCGATCTAGCCAGATTGCTGCAGGTTGCTCATCTGTCCGAATCTATGCCTTTGTTAAGATCCCTCCCGGCTAGAACTGGCTGCAGGACCATGCAAAGCAGATCTGCGACATGGCCAATGAGCCTGGGCTGCAAAGACTGCATGGGGCTTCCTTCGACTGCAGAGTTCAAACTTCTGCAGGCCTGGCGTGTAGTGTAGTGTGTGAAAGTCAGGAAAACTTGGCGCTGGCTGCTGAGAACCAGAGCTGCTTGGCAAGAAGCCGCTCCACCCTCGTGTGTTTTTCCTCTCCCCATGTTGGCTTGTTTTATGCTTTTATGCTCTGATGCTGCTTCTTGAATCCCCGCACGGGCCCGGCTTGGCCAAGCCGCAGGCTTGCTTGCGAAGCTGGACAGCGCTGATGCGCAGCTGGAGGCAACTGGGGAGGTTTCATTACAGAAATGCACGCAGGGCAGAGAGTGAGTTTCGGTGTCTTGCCACGAAACTCCGCGGAGAGAAGCCTGGACGCGCATTTCCTGGTGTCGCGCTTGAGAATTGAGTCTTCAGAACACAAGGTTGCCTCTGGACGGCGAAGGTGGTAATGAATCTAGATTTGCCTTGGGCATTTAGCGGTGCTTGGAGAGCAGCAAGGGGCTTACTCCCAACAAGGGTTGAAGGGCTTGAAATTTGAAGTTCCAGCGTGGCAGACATTCCGCGCTGGGTGTGATGGGGAGGGCAGGCAGTCTGCATTCTGCACCAACGCCGACTCAGCAAAAGACTCTAGCAGGCTACCCATTTGCTCACGCGCGCCCTTGCTCACTTACTCACTGACTGCTCCAAAGAGCCACGCCCACCACGAAAGATCACACTTGCTACTACGGCAGCTGTGATGCTGCTGGACGTCGCTTTGCCTGCTAGCTTTCGATTGCGTTGGGGTGCGTGTCAAGCGAGGAGCTGGAGCATTCAAAGCGTGAAGATGCGGAGGCAACAGCAGATCTGAAGAGGACCGCGGGCCCTTCAAATGCTGCCCTTGGATTCTGTGTGCAGCTGTCACTGCAAATGCTGTTTTGGGTTTTGCGCGCAGCTGTCAAATTGGGAGGATGCACCAAGACGAGCTTCGTTCGTTGCAAACTGCACTTGACGCCGAGATGGCAGAGGTGACCTGGTTCATTCGTAGCACTTTGCGCAACCCGGGGGTGTCTGCGAGGCTGAGCACCTGCGCTGGCAGCTGCAAAGCTGTGGCCAAGATGGCCAAAGCTTTGAGCAGGTTTGGCCAGCAAACGCTCCCACTGGTGACTCATCACAGCTTTTGGCAGCAATTCAGGAGCTGCAAGCCCTGGATTCAGCGTATGCGGATGTGCTGGAGGCTCGGAAGAGGACCGCGGGCCTTTCAGCTTTGTTACGCCGGAAGCGAGTTCTGCGCGCACCTGCCGCATGCAGGATGCACCACGACGATTTGGTCACGTTGAAGGCAGCTCTCGAGTCGAAGGCCGCGGAGGCCGCGCCACTCCTCCAGGTGTGCCGCGTGGCGCTCGGGTCATCTCGGGTCCCTTGCGAGGCAGAGCGCCTACGCCAGCAGCTGCAAGGCGATGGCCAACATGGCCAATGCTTTCAAGAGACCACAGAGGCTGCACGAGTCTTTTTACATGGTGCTGCATGTCTATCGGGTCCTTATGGGTCCTTGCAAGGCTGCGTGCTTAGACGGAGACGACCAAGAGGATCGAAATGCCCTGGAGGCGTGGCTAACCGAGGCTTGCAGCCAGACTGGCAGACTTCGACGGCAACTCGATCTGTGGACTCAGGCCGACTGCGCAAGCCTGCAAACCAACCCCCTTCAGGCAGGTGCTTCCAAAAAAGCTCATGAGTTCCGCCTAAGATGCATTCCCGCAGATCTGCGCGGTATGAAAAGCTGCACGAGCGTCGGTGTCATGTTGTGAAATGTAGGCGGCGTAGCTGCTGAGCGAATTCGCAGTTTGGACTGTCAGGATGCAGCATCGGATGCGGGCTCCATCTGGGTCCTTTCCAGTGAGGATGGCGAGACGGCGAGACCTCTCAGCCATCGTGCGGAGTCCAAGCCACGCGCAGATGCAGCAAAAGCCGTGTCCGTGAGAAGCGGTCCCTGCCTGCGCCATGATAAGGTTAGAGTCGGAGGGTTCCAAGAGTGAGCTGCCAACCAGGCTGCCGCGCCCTGAGTAGTGCTGCTACTGTAGTTGGGAGGGACTTCGCAACGAACACCCGGCGGGGATGGGGGGCAGGGCCCGGGGTTTCAAGGGCTGACGGCCAATCAACGTATTAGAGCTCCCCCTCCACGCTCCCCTTTCATCTTTGGACAGGGTGATGAAAGGATTGGAGGGTGGAGGATAATGGAAAAAGGTGGGAAGCGTCTGCTGGAAGAAACTATGCCAAGGACGCATGGGTCACCAGTGAACGGGCAGCGAAGGCCGGATAACTCCGACACAATGCTTGGCGAGTCATTCGATGGTTTGCTCCTAGAGGTCGCAGGTGCTGAAGGCGATCAGCGCAAGGGGCACACTGCTCTGGGAGGAGAATCCGCAGGTACGGTGGATGTCCACAATCCGGCCGCTAATGCGCCTTTTCTGGTGGGTCACCAAACCTTCGAAATCCGCATCGGCCTCATCGGGATCAGGGAGCGCACCTGCCAACCTCTGGGACCCGAAGTACAAGGCAGGGTAGCGCAGCGATGCGCAGCGATCTGCCATGCAGTGAGCTCCGGCTGGAGCAGCTTGGATCGCTTGAGTGGAGCTCGCTGTCAAGGACGACAAGACCCAGGGAAACAACAGGAACTACGGGCTGACCAACGAGGCCAAAGCTGAGCTGAGGGCGGTCAGCCGAGAGGCGCCATCTTGCCTGAATGCCGTAACGCTGACGCAAGGGCTTAGGGCAGTTGAGATGGCAGGTTCAGGCCCGATCGGAGCAGAGCGCAGGGCTTGCGGAGGCCGAACTTCCAGGGCTTGCGGGCTTTCGGAACTTGAAGGTGCATCCATCCTGCCCTGGCTTGATGTGAACAGGAGATGTACCGAGAGTACTTCCTGGAGCATAAGCACAAGCCGGCCACTGGAGCTGCACGGCTGCATGGTGTCACGAAAGCTGGGTCAGCTCGATTAACTTCAACATCTTCAATCTTGCGTTAGGAGGCATGTGAACAGTGTGGAAGCCAGGCAAATACATTCATCTGAATTCCATCAAGGTGGGTGGGGGGCATGGGTGAGATCGAAAGCTCCTTGGAAAAGACCATAAGGCTACCGCTCAATACGAGTGGTCCGGAACAAGGCGAAACGCACATCCCGATCCAGACCCGATCCAATACGTCAAAATTGACGTCACGCGGGGTTGTCCGTTCCATGCCCGCTCCATAAATGTTCCAGACCAAACAAAGTATTTAGCACATATACTCACCCTGTATCACTTGTGGGAACCAGCAAGAGCGAGTCATCGTTCAAGACCCCCGGATCAAGTGTGCGATCCAGACCCTCCGGACCAGACAGCATAGGAATGTGCATGCGAGGCACGACGTGGTTTTAATTAGTAGCTGATAATTATATGCATGGATTGATGCATCCGGATGTGATAAAAGGGTCCTTGAACGCATTGCCATCATCATCAGCATCATCAGCAGAATCATCATGGTCAAGAGCTTCAGCGTGAGCAGGCGTCATCTTCTACGTATGCTGAGGCTTAACGAATACAAGTAAATACCTTTCAAGCCCCCTCGGCCGAGAACCCTAAAAAGGGCCAAGCTCACATTTAAAGGAGGCCAAGTAGGGCGCGCATAATAATCAATTGGGGGGAGGTCGTGCAACAATTACAGGAGGTCAATCTGAAAGAAGAATGGCTAAAGATTAGAACCTCCTTCGTTTCCTCGGTTTTCTTGTTTGAAAGTCTTTCTACAGTGTAGTTTACCTAATCTAGCGGAAATCTGATTAGCATCAGGGGCCGTGGTGGTTTTCCCTCACTTTGTTGTATTCATACGGCGTATTCAGTCAGAGTTCATTCATACAAACGGATCTGGCGGAAAGTCAGTGATAATTATGGAGCTCCTTTACTTAGATGGAAGTAGGGATTTCCTTTTTCCCCCTTTTTTTGCACGTTTGATAAGGCTTGAAGAAGTTTCTGAGGATGCTGTGGGGCTGCGGTCAATACAAGAGTCATTCTTACCATTGATTTCCTAAAACGTCATTAGCTTCACCAAGGGACGTCCAATAGGCCACTTTTCACAATCCCGGTCCCAGGCGCAGCTGCAGAACTTCGCAAAGCGAAAGGGCGCTAACTTGCCTTTCATTGCTGCGGACAAGGTCCTCAGGCAGCCCCCGAGCATGTGAATCCAAAAGCATCGACTGCACAGGGCGATTTTCGTTGTCAGGGGAAAAGAGGTAGACAATCTTTAGCAAGGACCGACCCATCATGATTTAATACCGCTGGGCCCCTAGTGCCCGGCTTTTGAGAAACTCCTATGCACGCGGCCCGGTAACCCAATATACTGTAATCATAGTCTTCATTATGGGGATTTGAAAAAACTTGTATGGCAAGGGCCGATCTCACGAGGCCTCACACACTCCTTGAATGGATGGGAGCAAGGATTGCTCTTTAAGCTCTACTCGCTGGTTTTTTTTAATTTATCTTTATTTTTCAAGTTTTATCCCACCGGACATCAGGCTTCTGGATGTCAATGTCGCATTGCCCAGACAAGGATTCCAACAAGAATTGGGTGTGAAAGAACTTGAAATAAGCTTGAGCAGACACAGTGGCTGCAAGTAGATGCCATGAAAATTTGTGGCCCACTGTCATGCCATGCTGCCTGCAAAAGCTCCGTAGCCATTTTGGCTCAAGCCAGGAGGCTCAAACCCACACAT